TCATTTTAATGTGTCAAGTTTGCAATCTTATGAGTTGATTTTCGGTAACAAAAAGTATTCTATTTAGATTTGAAAAGTTTTACTAAATAAAATACACGGGCAACTTATAGTATAAATTTATTTTAAAAATTTAATATTTTTTTATCAACACGCTTTTTATAGATTTTATATAAAATTAATCACAATTCGATAATCTTCAACTGCTATAAAATTTATATAAGTTCCTCAATCTGGAGTTCCTAGTTATTATTGGGTTGATGCTTTCAAAACATCTGTGTTTATTATAAACAAGCTGCCTACTAGAGTGCTCAAGTGGAAATCACCTCATGAAGTTCTTTTTAAAGCTCAACCTGATTACAAATCTCTTAGAGTATTTGGGTGCCTGTGTTATCCTTATACTAGACATCTCAACAAAAACAAAATGGAGTTCAGATCATGTCCTGGAACTTTCATTGGCTATGAAGATGGATACAAGGGTTTCAAAGTTCTTCTCTCAACTGGAAAACTACTTATTAGCAGACATGTGGTGTTTGAAGAGAGTCAGTTTCCTTTCTTGAACAAACAAAATGAGTCAATCAATCATCAATGTCCATCTAACCCTCAACTTGGCATAGGTCCTCCCTCAATTATTTCAAAATTGCTGCAATGTAGGAGGAGTTTGAGAAACCTATTTAGTCATTTATATACACACAAGCGTAATGAGGTTAAATATTAGCAAACAATCTTGTGTACACGAATATTAAACTAATGTGATTAAATTATATTGTGATCCCATATGATATACAATTGTCGTTCTGAATAAAATTAACTAGTACAACAGCCATCATACACGGGTATTGAATTTAGTTTGCATAAAAAACTCAAAAAATAAATATACACATATATATTTTTTTAAATGCATTACAAGCTTATTTAAAGTGAAATTGGTTGCTTATGCAAAAAAAAAATAATAATAATAATAAAAAAATAAAAAAATCAAGTTATAATAAACAAACAATAAGAAGTATTTTTATTAAATAGTTATAATTAAATAGCATGCGTGATCATGAACATAGAAATACAAAATATTTTTTCACTCGAGATCTAGGAGGAGAGGAGACCCATCAAAATTTCTTCACGAATTTATGGTAAAGACCAATTGCATTTTTCCAGTTTTTCTTTTTTCAAACACAATTTTTCAAAAAATATGCAATAATCTTCTTGGAAATTACACAACATTACTTGGTTGCAATGATATTTCAAGTCAATCCCTTTAGCCTTGGCTGTAAATGGCTGTGTGTACAAAATTGGAGCTAGTACAGATATGTTTAACAAAATATTTTGGAATATTTAAGGTTGTTGTAATGTAAAAATAACAAATTATTGATAATTAGAATCGCAAGAGTCGATATTTATTTAAATCTTTTTGGTTGGAAACTATATAACAATGATTAATTTTTATTTTATGTAGTGTATGGTGGATTTGTGAGAAAAAAAGAGAGTGATGAATTAAATAGTATTTTTGTTAAAAAAATGTTTCATATATAAATTTTAGCTGAACAAACAATAATAAAAAAAATTGTATTAATTTTCTATTTTCATTTTTTTGATTTGAATTATTATGTATGGTAAATTTCAATAGCCTGTAATAATTATAATTATGTACCTAGTTATTATATTATTGATTTAGGATATTATTGTAATTAATATCGTGGTTAAATCATCGTCAAAGTCTAGACAATGGAGTCAAGGAAGCATTGGAAGTCTTTGTAATTGACTAATATGGTTTGTATTTGAACAAATGCATACCTTTTTGAATTAGGTGATTGATTATTTGATTAAGTTATAAAAATTTAA